TCATTGGTAAATTTGTGGTAGTCTATTTTGATGATATTTTGATATACAGCAAGTCTATCACTGGGCATGTGGTGAGACTGACTGTGTTGTCGATCCTTTCAATCCTAATGTGTCTTGAGTACTCTTGTGAAGTAACTGCCTGACTGCCAAATTGGGTCTGTTGAAAGACCTGCAGATCTTCAAGGGTCACATGGCTTTGCCTTGCAACCAGTGGGCCTAGCTATTGAAGATCCATCTCTCTCTCCCTTTTCTAGTTATTCATCCACGGACCCATCACCCATGGTACAGAGGCATTTACCAAGTGGTGGCTACACCCATGTATCCATGTGATGGTGTTGGTATAATAATTAAACACAAATATTAGTTAGGTATGAATTGAAGGAGAATTTAATTAGTTAGGTAGAGATCTGTACAAACAACAAATGAATGCATCAAGCTAATGAAGAGGCGTCCAATGTTTCCTTGCAACTTTCACAACTTGAAATGTACGTGTAAACTATATATTACCATATGCCCACTCATAAAAATATCAGTCCTAATTTGGATAAAAATACTAGGGCAAGGCCAACCCACAACGACATACAGTGTGGACCTACCGCCTACGTACTTTCATGTCGCTACCTAAACCCACGGTGGCACTAGCCACGAGGTATGTAAGCGTCAGTAGCCCTGTCCTGCAGACTTTTATTCGTAACTTCTTACACTTTTCACACATTTACCTCTCTCAAATCCAAATTCTTTGTTCCTTTTGTAACAATTGTCAAGGAAAAACAGTAGGCATTGCATATGATATGTCAAGTTCAATTGTTCTTCATTTAACTAGATTCCTCTCATAAGAAACCGTTGATTCATTCAGAAACCGGTCTTTGTCCATGGGCCGGGAGATTCAGAAGCAGCTTCTTCTAATTCCGACACTATCCAAAACATGAACAGGCAGAGGAAGAATTTGGGTTATATATATAATTAATCATATATTCATGCATGCCGCTTAATTTCAATATCAGTGCTCCTTAATTTGAGATGGTGTACGAATTGAGAACAATCAGATAATCCTTTCTAACAGGGCGGGGCTGAACTAAAAGGATGAAGCCACCCGCATTAAGACCTGTGATCAAAAAAGGAGAAGTCAGAGGCCTGAGGAGCTATTCCCGGGTATATACTCTGATGTTCAAGTCAATAGAAGGTAATGGATGGTCGGGCCGAGCTATAGGGATGCTAGTTCGAGTAGAATAGCAATATAGGTGTCAGAAGTGGGATCCCTTACCTTGAGCATAGAGTACCTTTTTATAATCAAAGATCCGTGTCCTAGTCGGATTGGGCTTCCGAGGTTATTGGGATAAGATTAGCTGTCAAGATATTCGGGATAGAGTCCCATTCCCCAACGGATTCGTCTTCCTTACTCCCCTTTATCCATAATTGTATTCATCCGTATAACGTGTAACTAACGTGGCTGAAAGGATAAGATCAAGGGCCGATTTCTTATCCGTACAGTCAAGTTGGATTGTAGACTCTTGACTAGTTGTTTACCAAATCCCAAGTGATTGGGCATTGCATGGCTATTTTCGTCCTCTCAGTCTCTCTCTCACTAGAGAAACGAATGAGCATTTCTTGTCCCATTGAAGACAACGGATCTGGAGGCAAAATCATGTGAACACTCATGATTAATGTCTCTAATCTTGAACCAGCCAACTGCTGGCCTCTTGACCAGTTGTTCAATATTTTGATAGGGATTGCCTTTGAGCGCTTCTTCTAATATATATATATACATACATGCATACTTAGTCCGATATACAATCTCACCTTCTCACAGCCTCTCTATTCTTAAAAGATAATTTGTTCTTAGATCTGCAAACTCTTTCTGACTTCATCGTACTTAGAAACCATGGGTATCCGTTTGCCTACTGCTTTGTCTCACGCTAAGATGATGCTTCGACGCTCTTTTCTGATTGCAAACCAAACTGCTTCAGCGGTGGCATTGGTTGTCCCAAAAGGCCACTTGGCGGTGTATGTGGGAGAGGCTCATCAGAAGAAGCGGTTTGTGGTTCCCATATCATATCTGAACCATCCTTCTTTCCAAGATTTGTTAAGTCAGGCCGAAGAGGACTTCGGATTCGATCATCCAATGGGTGCTCTCACCATCCCCTGCAAAGAGGATGCCTTCCTTCATCTCACATCTTACTTAAATAGTTTATGATTAGAAAAGTGTAAATAGATTTTTGCAGAAGATCTAGTGGAGGAGGGAAAAGAAGCTCCTTATCCTCCCTAAAAATTGTACAATAGATTCATTGTTTTATCCCTTTGAGCTCTAAACCAAAGATTTCTTTTTAAACTATTTTCTTGCTTTTTTAGTTTTTTTTTAATTCTAACTATATCTATATTCTTCATGAGTTAACCTTTAAATGCCATTGGGTATAAGAAAAATTAGTACGGAACGACAAAAGCTCTTTAGAGCCAAGTCTTGCACTAAAAGCCTCTCTGCTGTAAATAAATCCAATGCCACACTAATAAACTCTGGCTGTAAATTTTGCATGATGCAATGCAATATTTACAGCATACAGTGCTTAATTTTACAACAATTAATTGTAAGGAAAATCATTAATTGGTGCGATAATAAGTTATTATATCCACGACCACTCCCTCCTGCTCCTCCTCCACCTTACCTGGTTTGACTGAACAACTCTTGTCTCCCCAAGGTGCGATAATAAGTTATAGTGTAAGATAAATCAACAGGAAGTGTCACTCCCAATTAAGATGTGGACCTAGCTAGTTAGGGATTTCTTTTTTTTTTCAATTTTGCTACAAGTTTGATAGGGCTTCGGATACTTGGATTTCACATAATTTTGGGGGGAAATCATTAATTATTACTCCAAACAGATCAAGCCCACTTACACATGACCAAAGTGGTAAAGCTTCATTAGCTTTTATTTATGATAATAAATAATCATAAGGGTTTAACATCAAAGGGAGAAAAAAATAAGGTTCAATAGCACACCTTGATTACAGGATCTTAATTAACATTAGTCAAAAATTACCAAAGTACATTTCTTAATTACAAGATCTTAATAAACATTTCAATTACACAAAGCTAAAGTCATAATGCTGTCAAACCCTCGCCAGACCCAGATGTAGAGTTAGTTACGTTATTGAATCACAAGACAAACAATTGAACCATTCGGTTCGATTAATGTAAATAAAATTATAAAATTATAAAATAATGATAGATTTATCTTTTAATGCTATATATTTAATTATATATTAGCGACTATAAAACCTAATAACATAATATTATCATAATAAAAATAATAATAATATGGCTTGTCGAAGAAGTAATGAATGGCATTCGCTCACTTGGAGAGTTGAAGTTTGTGTGAAACAGATCATATATTGGTGTCAACTGTTAGCTCACAATTTTCGTTGCATTATAACTCACTTATTGGGCAGAGAGGTTATACCATACAAGAAACAAGATATGCGGTTCCTTGAGAATCAGAACTAACAAAGATTTTGCAGTGACAAAGATGAAAAAGAATTTATTGAATGGTGTTTGTATTGGGGAGATCTACTCCCTGGTAATGTACAAATTAATTGGAATTGGAGTGGCGAAGTAGATGCTTAATTTGCAAATTGAGTTGAAGAGATCGACTCAATGTCAATGTGCTTTCCCTGCAGGCTGCAGCTTTGAGCATAATTTTCCCATTCTCTGAAAAACCGGCCGAGAAAGGTTGAATGCTAGTCCTTTCTCCATTCACCAGCTTTGAATGTATCCTTTTCCCACTTGTTTGTAAAACAGTACTTCGGTTAATTTAGAATTGGGATCTGGCGATGTTGMAGCAGAGAATGTCAACCAAGGTACAGACCTGTCTGTTAATTCTCTTGATTGACCTCTTCAATTAATTTGAAACTCCTGCGTTCCGATCGTCTCATGATCACTAGCCACTCAAACGAGAAGTGAGGTCGAGAAATTGATCTTCTTTGCAAGGAATTGTAAGACCACCCATTGGATGGTTGAACCCAAACTCCTCCTCTGCCTGACCTAATAAATCTTGGAAGGAAGGGTTGGTTAAGTAAGATATTGGAACAATGAACCTCTTCTTTTGAGCCTGATCACCAACATAGACTGCAAAATGGCCCTTGGGAACATTAGCGGTTGGTGCAGAAGGTAAAAGAGAACGTCGGAGAAGGGCTTTTGCAAGAACCATCCCTGGCAATCGGATACCCATGGCTTCTGAGGAGGTAACTTGAAAACGAAAAGAGCGACCGACGAAAATGGATATCGAAGTTTGCTTCAGCTCTGAATTTCAGAGGGAGGTGTAAAGGCTAGACTTGAAATTAAAGATGGATCGATGCACTTCCTTTGGGAGTAAGGGTAGATATATATACACAACACGCTATGTAATGTGGCCCAAAACTAATCACCTACACAAATGAATGAATATTGACTAGTTAGACAGACTTAGATGATGGATATACCAAATTCTGAACACGCCTCATGGGTTTGCCTTGTATAACTCTTTAACATCACATCACGATGCACCGCAAATATCCCACTTGACCACTTGAGTAAACATTGAAATGAGTAGTGGGGATCGAACTGATTGTATGGTAATTATTTGTAAATTCTTTCGTGACTGGCACAAATGCATGGGTCCATCTGTCTCCATCGAGGGACCACCATCTACAATGATCACATGGCTTTGCCTTGTAACCCATGGGTCATTAGGTCTGTTCAAGACCCACCTCATCAAAAACATAACTACTACATGCATGTTATCCCCACCTCATGCATCCATCAATGTATCAACAATGTAGCTACTACATGTACTACATCTCCCCACTCTCTCTCTCTCTCTTTAATTATCGACCAGGCACTAACCCATGGTGCAGACTGCAGAGGCACCAAGTGGTCGCTGGCTACAACATACACTTGACAACATAATATGATATCCATGTGATGGTGTTGGTGTACGAATAACTATTAGTGTACTGTCAAAGAAGATTCAAGTTAATTTGGGCCCTACTGCCTGAGACTGAAAGGGCTTCAAAACCAACTTGAGAGTGAAATTAATCAAAGAAGAATTTATGACTGGTATTTGTGTTGTGACAACAACAGATGAGTGCATCAACCTAACAGAGTAACATGCAATTAATATTTCTTGTAGTTTCCTCAACTTGTATTCACCATTTATCACAGACCAGTTGGTTGAGTGCTTCTCCGACACAAGGACCTACATCATATATGGAAATAGGTATTTAAGCATCGGCAATCCCGCCCTGCAAATTTATTACACCTTTATCATATCTTGCTTTAATTTCTCAAATTCGTTATCTTTGTTCCATGTAACCAAGGCCGTGGAAAAACAGCTTTTCTCAGTTCTAGTTCATTTGTTATCTTCTTTTCACTAGTTGATCTTATCTCTTCCAGAGCCGTTTGTCCTGTGTCGAGATCCAGGAGCAGTTTCTGGTTCCGACGTTCATTACAAACACAGGTCGATCGAGGAGGAATTTGAATCCCACGACCATTCATTTTTTATTGTATCAAAAACTGATTCATGCCGTTATCAGTATATCTCTAGGCCTATATATTGTGTTTCTGTTAGGAAGAGCTAGAGCTACAAGCAGTTCATTATTTAGATACCACGTTTGTTTCTATGACTCAGGAAAGAAAAGAGTCTCGGTTTTATCACCATCCACCGGTGGCAGCATCCTTCTCCAAAATTTGAAAACATAGATACCAGACCATACGTTGTGAATATGCCAAACAACAATCGAAAATCCAGTTCAATAGACCAATATCTGTTGCGGACTTTACCCGATCTAGGAAAAACTACATGGGTCTGAGGATGATATGGTTCTCACAGCGGATATGATGATGAAACAACTCACCCAACCAGCACATCTTAGAGCCTTGCTACCACCTAAATTCAACAAGCTATATGAAGTTTGCAACAGTTGTACAGCATCCCAACTGTGGAAGAGTATTGTAAGTACAACCTTTCACTGATTCAGCAATAATTAAGTCTAATATGTCAAAGTAGATTTCTATTAGAAAGCAAATTGATTTTCTCTCTAGTCTCTTTTGTTATCTCAACTTGAACTTATCATGTGGCAACCGACGAATAAATCTTGTAAACCAACAAAATTGGTTGTATATTTAAAATTACGTTATAGGTTGGTCAAAAAACCAACAAAACACTGACAACCAGCTCTACATTTCAAAGTATAAAACCTCCCACCATGTCATTAGAGGCTTATATGGCTATTGCCAACATAGGACTTTTAATCCATGTTGGACACAAAAAAAAACTTATACCGAAATTGCCCTTTAGTATCTCTCTCACAATCTCCCTTCCACTCTTTCACTCTCATAATCGTCTCTCCCTGCTCAACAAGTATGTGATTTGAAAATTAATAAAAATGGTTTTAGTTTTTGTATTTAAGTTCTCTCTATCAATTTTTCTCATTCTCTCTCTACCTATCGCTCTCCCTTAATCTCTCTCATTTTCTTTCTCAATTGATCTCCCCTTTTCCCTTAATTTCTATCGTTCTCCCTCAGTTTCTCTCTCACTCTCTGTCTTCTTCTTTTTTATTTTCTTACACACTTATATGGTATTAAGCATACCATATAAAAGAACATGAGACCAACTTGGTATGGTTCGAACATTATTACACCAGTTTGATAAAAATTCACAAGAAACTTTTTGCTACAAAACTTACACAAACTTGATAGAAATTTATAACTTAATTGTACAAGTAGTTGGCCCCTTTCATTCATTTATATGGTCTGATTAATATTGTAAAAGTTTGTAAGAAAAATAAAGAAAAAGAATGAGAGAGGGAATTAGAGAAATACTGAGAGTGAACGATAGAGATTGAGGGAGAAGGAGATATTGACCAAGAGGGAGAGTATGGGAGAAGAATGAGAGAAATTGAGAGAGAAATAATGAAAGAAAGAAAGAGAGATAGATAAATAGATAGATAGATAGAGAGAGAGAGAGAGAGAGAGAGAGAATGGGATAGAAACAAAGGTTTTGATTTGGCTATAGATCGAAGTTGAGAGAGTGGGAGAGACAAAGGGAGAAGGAGATCGAGAGATGATTGTGATTGTGAGAGAGAAGGGAGGGAGATTGAGAGACAGAGGGAGTGGGAAAGAAATTAAAAACCTATTTTTGGTATATGCTTTTTACTGTGTCCAACATGGATTAAGAATCCCATGTTGGCAACACACACATAAGCCTCCAATGACATGGATGGAGTTTTTATAATTTGAAATGTAGAGTTGGTTGTCAAAGTTTTGTTGGTTTCTAGACCAACCCACAACCTAATTTTAAATGTGCAACCGAATTTTGTTATAATTTTCCCTTTACATTATATAAATATTTTTTACTTATCACACTTAATTTTTGTTTATCTATGATGTCGTTTGACCCAAACCACTAACCCACTACCCAAAAAGAAAAATAGTTTGATTTCTAGGTTGACATTAAATTTTGTATTACATTTCTATCATTGATAAAATTATTTTCTTACGTATAATACTTATTTTTGTTCAATATAATGAATGCATAATATTTGAGACATACCTAATATTTTATTTTTTATAAATATATAACATTATATATGTTTCCAAAATTTTCTCTATTCTTTTTGTATTTTTGTATTTTCTATTTTCAAAAATTTTATTATTTGACTATAACATGCATCATTTCATTTTTAGGTAGACTTTAAATTTGGAATTCCATTTGCATCATTAATAAAAATACTTCTTACATTTCATACTTATTTATTTTAATTTGTTATTATTTAATTATAAAATTATTTATTAATTTATTTGACCCCAAATTGTTGAATTGCTTGCCCAGCACTGGGAGGGAAGAAAATGGTTTTGTTTTCAAATTACTTTTCGAAATATTTAGTTTTATACTATTAAAATTAATATTGTGGATTTGATTTCAAGAATTTAATGGTGAGAAAAATATATCTTAAATATATGATTTAATGAGAGAATAGGAAAATATTTTTATTTCCAATTGGCTTTAAACTTTACATTCCATTTCCATCATTAATAAAAAACATTTCTTATTTATCATACTTATTGTTGTTTAATATGTATCTTAAAAATGTTTCCAATTTTTTCATTTTATCTATTTTTATTTTATTATTTAATCATGACAACATGGATTGACCCATTTGACCCAAAATGGTTTAATTTCTTACCACCATTTAGATGAAAACACTATTTTTTCAAGGATTATAACTACTAAGGGCAACTTTTGGGCCCTAATATCAATAAAAGTAATATTTTTAATATAATTTCTAAAATATGATAATTTTTTTATAAAAATATCATATAAGGGCAAAAACACTGTTTATCTTCTCCCTCTTGCAAATTATTCATCAACTCGCCGTCTCCACGATTTTCGGTAACACCTCCGCCCATGGCTTGAGCCCCTTCAGTGGTCCATATATTCTTGAGAAATTCGTCCATCTTCATGGAGCCAAAATCCTTTCCAAGGCCACCCATGGTGTTCTGGAACTCATCGAAGGTTAAGGAGTAGATGGAAGGTTGTCTGGCCAACAAGGAATTTCCTGACAGTCTTCCACTACCGCCACTGTCTTCCAGTGGTGGTACATCACCAGCGTTCTTGAAGTTCATCTGAGATTCCTTTTAACCAGTACTGTTAACTAACAGATCTCATATATCCACCGAGCTAAGAGAGATCGAGTGGAACCACTAATACTCTGTTCCTCTCTTGTATCATGTGAGTTGAAATCCAAACTTCAGAGAAGCAGGAAATTCACAGATGATTTAGATTGAAATTCAAAGTTCTGATCCAAGAGGAACTTCAAAAATTAAAAGAAAAAAGAAACTCAAAATTAAATTTGTTTGTGATCTTTGTCATTATCTGATTGTCTCGGTGTTTTACAACCATAACCTCACAACTCCGCCAGAAATCGTTTCAAATACGAAACTATCAAATACAATTTTTAGGAAAAATACACACGAAAAAAAAATCCTAACCTTATACAATTCTACTACTCAATTCAACTAACCATGCGGAAAAAAAAAAAAAAAAGTAACAACAAAAATGAACTAATTGAAGCGAAAAAGTCCTGAAAAGAAACAAAACATGAAGAATCAACACAGGTTGAAAACAACAAAACGACAACACAGGTTGAAAACTCAAAAAACAAAAAAAAAAACAAGAAAAATCTTTTCCAATTCCACAAAAACAAACTTACAATTCGTTTTGGTTTTGCACAGCGTTTCGCATGAAAAAGGAATAAAAAGCGAGAGAGGAAAAAAAAAGAAAAAAAAAGCAAAGCAAAACAGTAGTGATGCTGTGATGGAGCAAACTCTTACCGGTTTTTCGATTCCTCTCTTTCTTTTTCCGTGTTGTTGTGTGTAATTTTGCTTCTCCTCTCTACCTTGATCGACAAGTGTCACCTATAGGCCTTCCACAAGTCGGCATGTAAAGGATCCAACTTCCTTTATAAAGAAAGTGCTCAAAAGTTATCGGAGGCGGGCGGAGACAGCGGAAGTAGACGAAGGTGTTGTCGGAAGTTACGAGAGGCGCCAATGAATAGTTTGTAAGAGAGAGAAGATGAACAGTGTTTTTTGCCCTTATATGATATTTTTTAAAAAAGTTATCTTATTTTAAAAATTCTATTAAGAGTATTAATTTTATTGATATTAGGGCCCAAAAGTTGCCCTTATCCGTTATAATCCCTTTTTTTATGTAGATTTTAAAAGTACAAGTTTTTATGTTATTAGAATTATTAATTTATTAAATATGTAATTAATTAATAGAATTTAATGATGAGAAGAAATAAAAAATGAATTAAATATATGATTCAATGAACATAAATGCAAGTTAACAACCTAAATGTTGGATTTAATGAGAGAGAATTGAAAGCATTGAATATTTTAAAATTATCTCTTTTCAACTCATTTAATATCAATAACCTATTACCCTATTTTTTTTATTTTATATCAATAAATTTAAATATAGAGGAACATTTTTTGTCTTCAAAAAATTGCAGAAATATTCTTGAAGCCATTTGTACTTTTTGAAGTAGTATAGGTATAAATATAGATATACCATTACATAATGCTTAATTTCCTCAGCTGAAGGAAAGCACTTATACTGCACCAAATCCTTTTGTTTATTCAAGTTGCATAGCTTAGAGGTGACTGTGAAGAATGAAACAGAAACTTTTTCAGTTTTTTGGCAATGGTTACGACAAGCTAGATTTAGATCAGGGTAGTCGAAATCAACATATCAGATCTACCTACATGGCTAATAAATTAGTATCCAAACTCAAATTGGATTTCATCTGTCGGATTTTGCCTTCGATTGGAATCAGATATTATATATTATTAATAAATTAAATTAAAAATAATCAAAATACTATATTTTTAGGAATAAAAAGAATCATAAATGACAGATATTTTATTGAAAAGATAAACTAATAATGGCTTTAGTTAGACTTCATTTTATGAGCCTTTGATGAAAATATGATATTTATTGTTTTTTCTCAATAAAAATAGGATATTTAAACAGCTTTATCGATTTTATATAGTCATCCAATATAATCAGATTCGAATCAAAATTGGATTTGAATATTGGGGTAGATTAGAAATACAAATGCAGTTTGATTAAATCAAAATTCAAATCCGGACTTGGATAACCAGATACATTTGACGGCCCTAGTAGAATGTAAACACCTTGGGTTTGAACATTCGAGAGACATACACCATACACTGGAACTGCTGAAGTGTGGTGAAGAGTTTTGGTTATAGCATAAGACTAAGAGAGAGAGAGAGAGAGGTGGAGAGTAGGAGAAAGAGAAACGGAAACAAAACGATCAGGAATAGTCTAAAGATGGTTTTGTGGGACTGGAAGGGTTGGAAAGCCATGTTGGTGCAATTCAAAGTCTGTAATTTTCTCAAAACTTCAAACAAAAACTATGAAATTTAGAGGGGTCTGGACAGCAGAAAAGTGGAAAGTGAATAATGGGCTGAGCTGGAGGATAGGTTCTAACTTTTTGACTCAATTGTTACTTTGATGACCGACGAAAGAGGATAGACTTATTGCCCCCACTTTATTCATGGATGAAAGATGGAAACAATATATATATATATATATATGAATGTTGATATTCATCAGAATTGATAGGTACATTAAGTCCACAAATGGCTCGTATTGTGGCCATCGTCCTAAACAACTTTAGGACCAAACATTTCCATAGTCATGTATTTCCAACTCACAAATCACAATCAAGGGGCGGTTTCTTATCCGTCCAGTCAAATTAGGTTGTAGACTCTTGGCTAGCTGTTTACCAAATCCCAAGTGATTGGGCATTTCTTGTCACATTGAAGACCTAATTAAAGGCAGGATAACGGATCTGGAGGCAAAACCATGTGAACACTCATAACTCATGCCTCTAATCCTCAACCAGCCAACTGCCTCTTGACCACTTGTTCAATACTTTGATAGGGATTGCCTTGCCATCGCTTCTTCTAGCTCTATATATATATATATATATATATATATATACATGCATATACTTAGTCGTCCCATATATAATTTCACCTTTCAATTAAATCCTCATAAATCGTAGCCTCTATATTCTTAAAAGATAATTTGTTCTTAGATCTGCAAACTCTTTCTAACTTCACCGTACGTAGAAGCCATATGTGGGAGAGGCTCATCAGAAGAAGCGGTTTGTGGTTCCCATATCATATTCGAACCATCCTTCTTTCCAAGATTTGATAAGTCAGGCCGAAGAGGAGTTCGGGTTCGATCATCCAATGGATGCTCTCACCATTCCCTGCAAAGAAGATGCCTTCCTTGATCTCACATCTTCCTTGAATAGTTTATGAGAAATCATCAAATTAATTTTGTAAAGCAATGATTCAGTTTAAGTAACTATTTTGTACAAGAGTTGAAGAGGGAAGAGAAGCTCCTTATCCTCCCTGAAAATTATACAATAGAATTCTTTGTTTTTATCCCTCTGAGTTCTAAATTAAAGATTTCTTTTCTAACTATTTTCTTGTTTTTTTTAGTTTTTTAATTCTAACTTTCTATATTCTTCATGAATTATCCTTTTATTGATAAGAAAAAGTACGTACCGAAACCAAAAAGCTCTTTAGAGCTAAGTCTTGCAGTGAAAGGCTGTGCTATAAATAAACCCACCGCCATAAAACTTACGCTGTAAATCTTCCATACATGTGATGCAATATTTACAGCACGCAGTGTTTAATTAATATTTTAGCTACGGGAAAAGGGTGTCCCGCTTCAAACCCACCCCACTACCGGGGACGGTGTAAGGTATTTTGGCTACGGCGAGGGGGTGTCTCACCCTCAACCCGCCCAGTTGGCGTTCCTAATAACATATTGACAGAGTGACTATAATCATAGTGTTCATATTTGAATTATTATCCACTCCACCTCCTTACCTACTAAATGGCTCCTTTTGTTTAGGGATTTTCTCTATATGAGATCCATTGAATAAATTACAATGTGAAGGAGGGTTGAGGTTGGGATGCTCAGAGAAGGTCACAAGAGAGGTAAGAAAGTTCTTAGTAGTAAAGAGTTTAGATATTTACTGTGAGGGGTCATCTCTTATTTAAAATTGAATCCGTCTAGAGGTAGGTGAATGTGGACGATTAGGGTGCAGTCTGGCCTTGAGGGTGCGGCCACGCTATTGGCCCCGTATCGCACGCCAGCCTCTGCTCTATACACACTCTCATTGGAGCCGCTCTGTGCCGCCTTCTGCCACGCACGTACGTGCCATTGGCCCGAGTTATAATCGCCTACATCAAGAGGTTAATTATAACATTATTCAAAAGATAAAATCAAGATCCATTAATTACCCTGTTAAGATAATATTTATGAAAGATTAAAAAATTAATATGGCTTTTTTAAAAAGTGATGAACAAAGCCAAAAGATATAGCACCTAATCGGCACTAACAGGTCCTAAATGGCAATCTAAATGAATGGCAACTACTATTTCCATCATCAACTGTTAATTGCAATATATATAACTCGATCATTTGGACAACAAACAATGTTGTATTGTGAAAAGATCCTCTACTTTCATTAATTACGTTACAAACTCATGACATGAAAGCATAGAGAGAGGTTACCAAAAATGAAACAAGATAGTTTGATCAATATCAGAATTCACGCCAAAAATTTTTCAGTACTAAATATGAAAAAGAATTTATTGAATGATGTTTGTATTGGGGAGATTTTCTCCCTGGTCATGTACAAAAGTAAATTTATATATGCATTGGAGTGGCAAAGTAGATGCTTAATTTCCAAATTGATCGAGTTGAAGAGATTGATTCAATGTCAATGTGCTGTCCCTGCAGGCTGCTTTGAAAGCCAGAGAAAAGCTTGAATATTAGTCCTTTCTCCATTCAACGGCTTTGAAATATATTGCCTTCCCACTTGTTTGTAACCACTAACCAGTGTGATTTAGACTTGCAATCTGGCGATGTTGCAGCAGAGAATGTCAACCAAGGTACAGATCCTGCATTCCGATCGTCTCATGATCACTAGCCACTCAAACGAGAAGTGAGGTCGAGAAATTGATCTTCTTTGCAAGGAATTGTAAGACCACCCATTGGATGGTTGAACCCAAACTCCTCCTCTGCCTGACCTAATAAATCTTGGAAGGAAGGGTTGGTTAAGTAAGATATTGGAACAATGAACCTCTTCTTTTGAGCCTGATCACCAACATAGACTGCAAAATGGCCCTTGGGAACATTAGCGGTTGGTGCAGAAGGTAAAAGAGAACGTCGGAGAAGGGCTTTTGCAAGAACCATCCCTGGCAATCGGATACCCATGGCTTCTGAGGAGGTAACTTGAAAACGAAAAGAGCGACCGACGAAAATGGATATCGAAGTTTGCTTCAGCTCTGAATTTCAGAGGGAGGTGTAAAGGCTAGACTTGAAATTAAAGATGGATCGATGCACTTCCTTTGGGAGTAAGGGTAGATATATATACACAACACGCTATGTAATGTGGCCCAAAACTAATCACCTACACAAATGAATGAATATTGACTAGTTAGACAGACTTAGATGATGGATATACCAAATTCTGAACACGCCTCATGGGTTTGCCTTGTATAACTCTTTAACATCACATCACGATGCACCGCAAATATCCCACTTGACCACTTGAGTAAACATTGAAATGAGTAGTGGGGATCGAACTGATTGTATGGTAATTATTTGTAAATTCTTTCGTGACTGGCACAAATGCATGGGTCCATCTGTCTCCATCGAGGGACCACCATCTACAATGATCACATGGCTTTGCCTTGTAACCCATGGGTCATTAGGTCTGTTCAAGACCCACCTCATCAAAAACATAACTACTACATGCATGTTATCCCCACCTCATGCATCCATCAATGTATCAACAATGTAGCTACTACATCTCTCTCTCTCTCTAATTATCCACCAGGCACCAACCCATGGTGCAGACTGCAGAGACACCATGCAAGTGGTCGCTAGCTACAACATACACTTGACAACGTAATATGATATCCATGTGATGGTGTTGGACTGTTGGTGTACGAATAACTATTAGTGTACTGTAAAAGAAGATTCAAGTTAATTTGGGCCCTACTGCCTGAGACCGAAAGGGCTTCAAAACCAAACTTGAGAGTTGAAAGTGAAATCAAACAAGAATTTATGACTGGGATTTGTGGCAATGCATCAACCTAACAGAGTAACATGCAATTAATATTTCTTCTAGTTTCCTCAACTTGTATTCACTATTTATCACAGACCAGTTGGTTGAGTGCTTCTCCGACACAAGGACCTACATCATATATATATGGAGATAGGTATTTAAGCATCGACAATCCCGCCCTGCAAATTTCTTACACCTTTATCATATCTTGCTTTATTTTCTCAAATTCGATATCTTTGTTCCTTGTAACCATGGCCGTGGAAAAACAGTTGTGTTGCAGTTCTAGTTCATTTGTTATCTTCCTTAAACTAGTTGCTGATCTCTTCCAAAGCCGTTTTTCCTCTATGTCGAGGAGAACCTGGAGCAGTTTCTGATTCCGACGCCCTACTCATTACAAACACAGCTCGATCGAAGAGCAATTTGAGTCCCATATATGACGTCCACTCAGTTTTTATTGTTATCAAAAACTGATTCATGCCGTTATCAGTATATCTCTAGGCCTATATATTGTGTTTCTGTTAGGAAGAGCTAGAGCCACAAGCAGTTCATGCATGATTTAGCTGCTATGACTCAGGAAAGAGAAGAGTTTCGGTTTTATATGTCACCATTCACCGGTGGCAGCATCCTTCTCCAGAATTTGAAAACACAGATACCACTCCATACGTGGTGAATATGCCAAACGACAATCGAAAACCAGGCCAGTTCATCAATAGACCAATATCTGTTGCGGACTTTACCCGATCCTAAGAAAAACTACATGGGTCTGAGGATGATTGATATGGATCTTACAGCGGATATGATGACGAAACAACTCACCCAACCAGCATATCAAAAATTAATTCAACAAGCTATATCAAGTTTGCAACAGTTGTACAGCATCCCAACTGCGGAAGAGTATTGTAAGTACAATCTTTCACTCATTCAGCAACTAGTCTAATATGTCAAAGTAGATTTCTATTACAAAGCAAATTGATTTTCTCACTAGTCTCTTTTGTTATCTCAACTTGAACTTATCATGTGGCAACCGAGGAATAAACATTGGCAGCACAGAGACACGAAAACGCACCCCTAACACAACAGCCATTTTAGGTTATTCATTTCTCTTTGGTTTTTATTCCTCTGATTCCGATCTTTCACCTACAAGGGATATCTTTGATGCTTTAGTATGCCCATTAGATGTGGTAGTTTTTTATTGGCCCATCCATCCCATGAACTCTAAGGATTGCCCATTCCAGGTTTGTCCAGAAAGGACTTCAAATTTTGGCCGAAGAGAAGTAGCCCAATAACGACCAGTTTTACTCAGAGTCAGAGACATTCAAATTTTAGATCAAATTAAACAAATATGTCATCTTTGCCTTGTACATAATGAATGACAGGCCTCAAAGCATTGCCTCTTAAAATACCCACACAATGGGATTTTGTTACTATATATAAAGGCCCATTATCAGCCAACCATTTCTCTAGGCTGTGATCAGTAGTATTTTTTGCCCAACTCACAGCAAAGTCCTTTTGTGCCATACATGCATCTCTCTCTGTAGAGAAGAGTTGTTCTGGGACTTCAAGAATGACACAGTGGAATCTTATGACGGCCAATTGAGTCTTTCTTCTCCATGAGGGCCTAATCCAGTTATTTACTGAAGGGATATATCCATGATGAACCTGGTTATGGTTAATTGGGACAGCAACGTGGTTTTCCCATTTCTTAGGATTAGTCATAGAATCATATTCCTAGAACTCACACCATTATTGTACAATGCTTGATCGGCTGAAGGAAACCTCTTCTGGTGCGCCAAGTCCTTTTAAATTGCAGAAACTGTGGAGCAGCGATGCTTTAACTTTTTGCTCTGTTAGAGATGAATAAAAACTTCCTTTGCAAGAGTAGGAGCCTGATTGTCAGTCCTATTTTCAAGTTAGTAAGAAATTTTAAAGGGTATTGTGAAGGATGAAGCAGGAACGTTTTTTCGGTAAAATTTCCAAAAACTAGATGTAGAGGTAAAATACTTGATCAGCATGAACATGAATACATGAATTATGTGGAACATGATACCATTTCTCGTTTAGCCACTAGAGTTCAAAGTCCTTGATGATATGGTTAGAAGAAGGGGGAATAGAAGAAATTCAAATTGTTTCATGGTTTTGAAATTGGAAAAAGACCAAGCTTATGCCAGCTAGCAACCTGACCTTATCTGTGAAGAGTTGGAAGGAATTGGTTTCAGAATTTTCTTATCAACATCATTTAGAATGGTTTTACTTTGATCTATAATGCTTATAAATATCCTTTCTTCCATGCATACATGTTCTTAAGGGTATGGCTAAGTGGATTCATTCAATCATGGGAAACTTATGATAAGAGTAAAAGAAGATCAAGAAGCATTACTTGGTTGGAATTTCAGAATTCGAAATCTTACAGATGTTAAGACAAGCCTAAGAATTAAGGAAGATGGGGTGGCAAGTCCTATCCATCCACATAAATTCCTGCCAGGCAAACATGCGAGGAAGGAATCTTGGGCCCTTTTAGGAAACTTTAAATTGCAATCTGGATCATTAAGAGAGGCTGAAGCTTGAATGAGACTTTGATCAAATGGCTGGTGGTGGGTGAAAGAGTTTTCTGTTTGGTTCAATTGATGGTTCGGTAATGGTCCATTCTGTGATCAAATTGAAATTTTAATGTTCGTGGAACTCAGAATTCAAAGAATGAAGGATAACCTCGATATCTATGGTAGTTAGAAGGATAACCTCGCATCAGTTACATTGAGTATGTCTCTCTTTGATGGTGAAGATAGAAGGGTGTTAGAAGCTGATTAATTTCCTAAGTCCCATTTTCTGCAGAATCCTATTGGCAAGTGTTTAGACAAAGATCAATCATCTATCTAGTTGGAAAAGGATGTTGTTTAACAAAAACCCCAATCAAAATTCTGAACTTTGCTTGGAAGGGATTGAGATTTGAAGTGAGGAATTCTTAACAGCATTGGATTGAAATGAAGGTACAGATCACTTTTTGAGTAAGGTGCAAGAAAGTGGTTTTGGAGGAAGGAATAGCAATGGAATGTGCAAACCCTTTTAAAGTAAATGGCAAAGATGTTTGGAGGAAGGTAATTTGCATCATGTGTCCATAACTTGGTGGTTTCACTAGGTATCTTAAGCTACATACAAATGGAGCTTTGATTAGTGCAGATTGGGATGGAATTTGCACTTCTCTAGGCGTGCTTATTGCAGCATTTAGTCATGATTATAGTATCGAAGCAAAACTAATTGCAGAAGCTCGATTTGTTCCGGGTTTTAACTCTGAAACTCCTTGGATTATAGATTATATATATGAGCGTGATGAAAGGATATTGAATTACAATGCTGTCTTCCAGTCATTTGCATGTTCATGCAAGAAATTTCATGGTGGATTAAGGGTGAAAAGGGATATCTATCTGATTTGAGGCAATATGATACAGTTTAATTGATTAAACCGTATATATGAAGAGTCCATTCTCCATTGTTAAATGTTAATCCAGGAAACACTCAGTTGCCTTCAGTCCTAATAATCCCATGCCCTCTGTACTGTAAGTGGAGCCCACCTGACAGCCAGCAAGCCCCGACCTGGGTTGATAGTTCTTGTGTGAATAACTTCTTATGCCTGCTTTTACCCCCCAAAAAAGAATTCTTTTTCTTGGAGTACTCTTTTGCCAAACAAATTTACATCTTTTTACTTATGGGATGGTTTGGATGGAGAGAAATTTGGTCTTGGTACAATCACTATTGTACAGCGCATTCATTAAACATCCAAAAATTTTGACAAAAACGAGAAGGCGTCAGGCGTGGATTTTATCATCACCGTTAGAAGCATGGTTTTCAAATCGGATCGGACCGTTTTACTCCAAACTATTGATCCAGGCGGTCCAACCGTTGAATTATCGATTCAGACAATAGTCTTTTATCGTTTTCTGCTTTTTATTTAATTTTTTTTATTTTTCTTTCATAGATCATTCATTCAGACCGGACCGTCAGACCTACGACTTCAGAACAGTTTCTTGTCCGGTCCAGTTTTAAAAACCTAAGCGATTGTAAACTAGACTGAAAGTTTTGGGGTTTGGAAGATTCCCTATTTTAGCCTTTAGACAAAAGTACCCTTCAGTAGTTGTTATTATCATTATAAATAAGGGTATTTTTGTCTTTTCATTGAAAATGTTTCCAGGTTTGAAGAGGCTGCGTTTAATTGCAGCACAAATTTATTTGCACCAACACAAAACTATGATTGTACAAATGACTTGGGTGCAAATTCTGTTTTATTTTTGTTTAAAATTTTACCTATCTTGTTTATACAAATGAAATAAAATAAGACATGA